TTATAGGAAGGGTAAACTGAAAAACTATTCGCAATATCAGTGAGAGATCTGATGTGTGACATCAAAAATATTCTCTATTGCAAAAGTACTGGCTTTAAAATCAATGTTATTGATAACTGCTAAATTCTAGATATTTAATTCTTTAATTAGTCTTTCTATAGAATTTACTTGAAGTATCCTGAATTTTTTAAGCCAATTTTTATATCACTTCAGTATAATACAATATTCGTTAAATAGAGAATCTTGCACAAGTTTGGTAATAGTTTTGAATTTTGACATAGTGATAATATAACATATGTGAGCCAAAATTTCGTTTCAGGAAAAGCCATAGTCAACAGCATAGAGGTAATAAATATAGTTATTTTTGTTATCTGACTTGTATCAAAAGATTTTTGAAAAAGTCTAAGTTTATTTCTCTTATTATTAATAACTAATTGTTTCTTTTGTTATATTATTGTAATTAGTGTTTGAAAGAAATTATGAACAATATTTGGCAATGCATTGAAATACTCTTTATATGAGCCTGGATTTTCTAACTGGTTTTACCTAGTTTAATCTCTGAATATGATAATAAAATCTTCTTTCCTATTTTTTCTCCTATTGCTGTCACCTTTTTTGATGTAAATTTGTAATCTTTTCCTGTTAATTTATTCAAGTCAGTTTTCACTATTTTCAGTGCAATTTTGACAAGAAAGCTACTAGGAAGACTTGCTTCTATTTTCAGTAAGCTTTTACTATCTTTTATATCATTATTTAAAACTTGTAGAGTTGGTATTAATAATAATAATAGTTTTCCTTTTAAGTTTTGATCACCTGACTCCTCTACAAATATTATTCATTTTCTAATATCCACCAAAATGTCATTTGTATTGCCTTGGTGTTTCCTAAGTTCAGTACACAGTATGATTTTTTTCTCTTTGTCTAGCTTTTCATACAAATGTCTACTCTGTTTTTGAAAGCATTTTGTGCATACATAGCATGCATGATATCCTGATGATGAAAGTTGTACAATAGATCTCTCCGTAAATACTTAATATTTATAAATACTAATGCAAAGTACCTGAATATTATGCTCATTGATTTTCTATGAATACTCTTTGCAACTGTTGCTATAGCTAAAAAAGTATTTTTTTTATGACAGAAAATACAGATACGAAAGTAAATATTACTTTTCTCAGTTGAACACAACTATTTTGCACCTTTATAATGAAGTTAGTTCTGATCAAAGGCAAAATAGGAATGGCATATTCCAAGTTGGTGAAAGTTATTCTTAATATCTTTAAATTTATCTGCATCTATCTCCTATGTCCCTATCATTTGCCTCAATAGATACAATTTTATTTTTCTACTACAACATCTTATCTCGCTTTCAATAATATCTATAATAATGTATGATATTAAATCAGAACTTTAAATAAGGGTTTCTTCAATTTTTATATTTACGTCATTGTTGTCATCGATATTTTTATCATTATCTTCTTCATTTTTATTTTTTTCATAATCATATTCTTCCTCATTTAGTAAGAATTGAGAATTTTTAAAAGCAATTTTGTCGACAATGAAAATGTTTTAGCTATTCTCAGAAGTATTACATCCCTTAAGATTTATGTAAGTACTACATTCCTCTGAGTCACTCATTTTTGAAGTTATTATTATTGTATAGTGAGATTTATTTAATGATTTGAATTTTGTAGAGCTTAAATTGAAGGCAAAACGCAATATCTTTTATACATTTTTAACTGGAATTTCTCTGGACATCAGGTATGACTTCTTTTCTATTTCATCTAACTCTATCTTAGACTATGTTCTCTTCTAATTCATTCATATTTCATACAATAATTGCACCCTACGCATCATTTCTCAATCTTGCAAATATTAATAGTCATTGATAATAAAGGCTATATAACTAAATAAGATAGACAATTCATAGCAAATGGGTAAAAATATAGAATAATGTACAACTTTCTTGGCTTAGTATCTAT